ATGTTGTGTAATATTTAAAACATAACATGTAGATAATGTGTTTGATAAAATTACAATGAGAAGAAGTTATATTGTGGTTATGTACTTATTTTGACTTGGAGTTTTTTTTTAATATATATTAATAATATTATTGGGACTTAGGTGTATGAATTTATTAATTATAAGTTATAATTTCATTAGTGAAATTGTAAAAATAAATAAAAAATAATATATTTATTATAATTTCTAGGCCCCGCCTAGGCCCCGACTAGGCGCTCTAGGCGCTAGGCGCTGGTCGGGCGCCTAGCGGGTGCCTAGCGACTTCAAGAACACTGGTTATGAGATAAATATAATTTTTTTTTTTATGTTAGATATACACAAATTTCCTTTTTATACTATTGTTTTAAAAACAATTTTTTTTAATCTTTGTATTGTAAATCGATATTCTATTTTTTGTATAGATAAAATATAAATCTGCTAGGTATAATCAATATCTATATATATAAGTCCGCTACATAAAACTTTTTCATACGTATAATAGGGTAGTTGTCCAATTAAAAATTGTCCGAGTTGAAAAAATTAACGGTGGATAGATGTCTATTTACTAATACTTTTATATTTTATATCTACTATATAAGAGCATTTTTAGTAACAAACCTCCATAATTCTCCTTTTACACTTTCCAAAATGCCACATTATCCGGAACATCATTCTTACTCCTACATCCATACACCTCCAATAATAATAAACCTCACAAATCTCATTTTTATGGGTCCCACATGTTTCACACTTACTTTTAATTAATATTGTACTTTTATATTTTTAATAATATTTCCAAATTATAACTCCACCTTTTATTTTTATTCAGTCTAAATATTTTATATATTTTTACCTATAAAAAATTGAAATTATGTTGTATTATTTATAATTATAATATAAAGTGAATTATATACGGATGTAAAATTTTACTTCAAATAAATTTTTACTTTAAATAAAGTTATACATTCATATTTATATTCATATAATAATAAATTTTACTATTTTTTTAATATAAATATTCATATATTTATCATAAAAATATATAAAATATAATTGTAAATATTTTTGAAAACATTATAAAACTAGAAATTTTGAAATTTTATTGCACAAAATGAAATTATAAAATATATAAAATAATTACTATATCCAAAAAAATCAAAGATACACGAAAAGTAAAAAAAGAAAGGTCCACTAAAATAAATGAAAATACAATAGTGAGAACTAAATGAAAATATAAAAAGTAGAAGTAAAATAATGAGAATGTAAATTGATATGCAGGTGGGTGTCAGATGTGGTGGCTCACCATCTTACGCCAATTTTTCAAATTGGTTTCACGCGCCTGCTGTACTTGACATTAAACCATGCTCGTACAACACACAACTTTATTTTTACCTATGCAATTTATTTTAGTGAGGTTTGTGGAAGGTTTGGTTGTAGTGAATCATTAAATACCGCATTCAAATTCATTATACTACACCCTAAAATGACCAAAATACCTTTACTAATTTTTTTTTCTAAAAAAAAAGCC